TTCTGGTACTTGAAATTAGTTTTGGATAGCAGTAATGTTTGTATTTCTAATTGCATTTAAATCTATATGTTGACCTCTGTAGAATTGCTGTTGTGATCTATATCTTTTTTTTTCTATAATTGAAAAACATGACAATAGTAAAAATGACTTGAAGGATATTAATATAGAGCTACGCAAAATGACTAAGGCTTCCTTAGAAGCCATACAACTCTATAACAAATCAAGAGTTTTTCATTCATGTAGAGAAGGAAGGGGTGACTATTAAATTCTAACTCTAGAGTCTTTATTTTAGATAAAAGGAAAAGTAGGTAAGTGATATACCTGCTTAGAGTTTGGACAGTGATATGTTATGATCACTTGTGACTAGCCTTGATGCCTGCTGCTGGAAGTCCTGTGGTCCTGCTACATCCCATCCCATCGGGGCAGTCTGGAAGCGCCGTGCCGACAAAGAAGCCTTTCTTGATCAGCACAGGTATGCCTCGTGAAACCAGGTTTACCTGTGCCGATCAAGAAAGGCTTCTTTGTCGGCACGGCGCTTCCAGACTGCCCCGATGGGATGGGATGTAGCAGGACCACAGGACTTCCAGCAGCAGGCATCAAGGCTAGTCACAAGTGATCATAACATATCACTGTCCAAACTCTAAGCAGGTATATCACTTACCTACTTTTCCTTTTATCTAAAATAAAGACTCTAGAGTTAGAATTTAATAGTCTACATGCCTCCGTCGACGGAGGCATGTAGTTTAGACACACCCCTTGTGTCTAAGGTGTGTGGGTTTTTTTTCCCTCTTTTAAACATTGTATCATACTCTAGAACTATCTTGGGACAAAGCAATGCCAGCTGGCATAGAAAACAACCCAAAACTTGTTTCTCTCATCCTTTCTTCTTTTCTAGTCCCACATTCACTGCTGTTGTTAACAATCCTCCAATAACACTTCTGAATAGGATCGCCTAACTGCTCCCATCATGCTTTGAACAATTCACAGGAGTATTAACCAAGGAAACATTTGTCAGCAATTTGTTCCAACGCCACAAGTTAATTGAAATGAAAATACATCTGAGTGTAGAAGTTTAATATTAAACTACAAATCTGAAAGTTGTCTATAAACAATGATTCATCATTAATCAGTTCTGTTTTCATTGGAACGCTACAGGCATCAGTTTTTGGTCTTGTGCTATTTAAAATTTTTCATTGGTGTTCTATTGGAACGCTGCAGGCATCAGTTTTTGGTCTTGAGCTATTTAAAATTTTTCATCAGTGTTCTATAAGAAAACACAATCTGCAATTAGCAAAAATGCCCATGGATATCTGTAACCATGAACATAAAAACCAACATACTGGGTCAGACCAAAAGTTCATCTAGCCCACTATCCTGTCTTCCAACAGTTGCCAATACCAGAGGGAGTGAACAGAACAGGTAATTATCAAGTGGTCCCTCCCCTGTAACCCATTTCCAGCCTCTGACAAACAGAGGCTAGGGCCACCATTCTTACCCATCCTGGCTAATAGCCATTGATGGACCTAAACTCCATGAATTAACAGGGTTCAAAAAAGAACTAGATAAAGTCCTGGTTTTTACAATGTCCTCTGTAACTGCCATTGGGCAGACTTGAACCTGGGATGTCTGGAGCTTAGTGTAGGAGACTCTACAGTTTGACTTATAAAGCCAGCTGGCTCTCCGCTAAGGCTGCAGAGCTGCCTTGTTCTTATCACTTGCTGTAAGTGGTTTAAGTGCCACTACATAGGACAGTGAACCAAACAAGGTGTGTGGGTTACAGTTCTACAGGTTGCCTGTGCACTGTGTGAAGAAATACTTCCCTTTGTTTGTTTTCAAACCTGCTACCAATTAATTTCATTTGGTGAACCCTAGTTCTTATAAGTGCAGCTACCCACAAAGTTAGCAATGTGTCAAAAATAGTGGGAGTGGTAAACAATGAAGAGGACAGGACATTTATTTGGACTCATCTGGACACCTTGGTATGCTGGGCACAAGCGCTATATCCATTCCTACTCAAGATTTCCTTGTCTGTTACCGAAGGAACACAGTAACTTTTAGTATCAACATTCTCAACCACTAGTCTCAAATTGTGTTCAGCCACTGCTTCCCAGAACAAAGTAAGTATGGCCCACAGTCTTGTTCCTTGAAGAACACATATTAGAAACATGTAGGCTAGGTCTAGACTGGCATGATTTTCCACAAATGCTTTTAACGGCAAACGTTTCCGTTAAAAGCATTTGTGGAAAAGAGCTTCTAGATTGGCACGGACGCTTTTCCGCAAAAGCACTTTTTGCGGAAAAGCGTCCGTGCCAATCTAGAAGCTCTTTTCCACAAATGCTTTTAACGGAAACGTTTGCCGTTAAAAGCATTTGTGGAAAATCATGCCAGTCTAGACCTAGCCTACATGTTTCTAATATGTGTTCTTCAAGGAACAAGACTGTGGGCCATACTTACTTTGTTCTGGGAAGCAGTGGCTGAACACAATTTGAGACTAGTGGTTGAGAATGTTGATACTAAAAGTTACTGTGTTCCTTCGGTAACAGACAAGGAAATCTTGAGTAGGAATGGATATAGCCCATCTTTTTGTATGGGTGCAACTGCTGCTGGAAACTATGTCCAGTTCTAGTGTCCACGATTTGAGAGATGTTGATAAACAGGAGATGGTTCAGAGAACCACCACCATGGGACTGATTAAAGGATTAGAAAACAGATCTTCTGGTGATGGATTGAGTGCCTTGATTCTCTTTTAGTTTATCAAAGAGGAAGCTAGAAGTTGACTTGGGCAGTCTTTAAGTACCTATGCAGGACTAATGTTTAATAATGGGCTCCTCAGTCTAGCAGAGAAAGGTATAATGCAATGCATAGCTGAAAGCTGGAACTAGGCATTCAGCTTAGAAATAAGCTTCTTAACAATGGCAGTAACTAACCCCTAGAACACTTTATCAAGGCTCCTGGTGGATTCTTCATCACTGACTTTTTTTTTAATCTTTTTATCAAGAGGGGACATCTTTCAAAAATAACTTCCTCAAAACAACTTGGAGCATCTCTGTTTTTACAGTAGATCAGACAATTCAATAGCTTCGGAATCAATTAATCTTGTGTTGAACGGAACTGGGGCTGGGACACTGGCCCCAGTACTGCCAGCAGTCTATGTTCAATGGACCCAGTGTATTCAGAAACAAAATCAACTGAAATGTCACATTTTACTTTGTGTACCTTGAAAGTAGGCTGGGGTGGGCAATAAAATGGCAACAGTTCTCCAGGGTTAGTCTTTGGTGATTTACCTCCACCTCCACCTCCATAGGTATGGGCTACTGCTCCTCCTTTTGCCCACAGATCACCTCCCTGTCCAATAAGCTGCAGGAAGGAGTCACCCATACCAGTGCAGGTAAATATAGAAGGGATAACCCTGGTGGACCAGATCTGGCCCATGAGTCGATATTTACCTACCCACTGAAGTATGCTAAGTTAAGAACACTCCAAAATGCTTCTGGTTGTTCATTGCAGAGGTGTGTTTTTTGTTGTTTGTTTGGTTGGTTGGTTTTTTTGCGGCGGTGGTGGTGGTGTCTAACATCCCTAGTTCTGATAAAATGCATTTAGTTAAGTAATCGTGTTACTGCTGAAATTTTCAACAGTTACACTGTTACATGCGGGGGGTGGGAGTACGGAGTAGAGGGGAGGCGGATCTTGTCTTCTGCCTCTGTGACGGAGGCAGCAGCGTGCAGAGGTTGGGGGGAGCCTGCATGTAACTGTGCACGTTAACTGATGAGCCCAGGCTCATCGGTTAACTGTCTACATGGTTATACTTTCACATCCCTAATCAGAACAGTCTTTTACATTTCTTCTGCAGTTTCTGGGGCTTTATAGTGAAAGACATGAGTGAATCTGTATACTCCTGGTAGGCTTCAAGTAATCGTACAATTGAAAGGCAACACGTGAAACTCTTAAGAGGAAATGTACTAACAATATATTATTAATCAATTGAACTCATTACAACAAGGTCTTTTTAGATAAATGATCTAGTATGATTAAGAGAAGCACAGGTACATGGATGAGACTTTCTTAAACAAACAAACAAACCCAAACTTCTCATTATTTTTTCAGATACAGACTAACACAATTACCCTTTTGAGACTTAAATAATTCTTAACAGTTTCCTTTAAGAATAAAATGAAATCAGGATTCAAAACCCCTTTTGGAAAAAAAAAGTGGCATCAAGATCTCAGTGCAACTCAGTGATTCCCTGATTTCTCCCTCTCCCTCCAGAAAGTGGTGGCATAAAAGCCCCATAATAGTGTAGGCATCTGCCAGCCCTATCAGCTCTGAGATTCTATGAATAAAGCATGAAATTACAGTAGCTTAACAATTACTGTAATAGCTTCTACCTAGAGAATGAGGGCCATTTGATGGAATAAGAAGCTGGGATTTATCCAGTAAATCCATGTTTATAACTACTAATTCTTTATTCCTCAAAGCCACTATTGTAACATTATCAGAAACTGAACTCCGTAGTATGTTACCAAGTATTTCAGTAGTCAGGTATGCAGACACCAGGTATTTCTATCACTTCATCCCTATCCCATCTGGATTTTAGCTGTTCACAAAGAGTGCATTACTCTGCACTAAAACAATTAGTGGAAGATTTTGTGCACCCTATTAGATCACTCTATTTCTAATCACATGAGTGTTTGTTCTGCTTACAGTACCTGGACTCGAGGGTTATTTGCAGTGTAGCAAGTCTCTGAACAAACCATAATCAAGAAAACAAAAAAGTACATGCAACCTTATGACAGGAGCAGAAGAAATAGTTAAGTATGGCAGGAAAAAATATTTCCTTTCTCTGAAGGTAAACGAAGAGCACAATAGCCATATCTATAACACTGTGAACGCTGTCTAACTGCTGTGAGGCTGGGCAAATACCTGGGCAGATAAAATAAAATCAAGTTGTGCTGAAATGTTATGTCTTCTAACCTTCACTTGTATTGTATTTATTCTTGCAGGATGCTCTGGAAACTGGCCTTATCTGTTTTTCTGGTGGCAACCTTGGTTAAAGTAACGGACACCAGGAAAAACCGTCCTGCAGGAGCAATTCCATCTCCCTACAAAGACGGCACAAGCAACAACTCAGAGGGGAGGAAGCATCTGAACAAAGAAGTCCTGGCCTCTAGCCAGGAGGCCCTGGTGGTCACAGAGAGGAAGTACTTGAAAAGTGACTGGTGCAAAACCCAGCCCTTGAGACAGACTGTCAGTGAGGAGGGCTGCATAAGCCGTACCATTATAAACCGTTTCTGCTATGGCCAGTGCAACTCCTTCTACATCCCCCGGCATGTGAAAAAGGAGGAGGAATCCTTCCAGTCCTGTGCTTTCTGCAAGCCTCAGAAAGTCACCTCCTTCACGGTAGAGCTGGAGTGCCCTGAGCTGGATCCGCCTTTCCGACTCAAGAAAATCCAGAAAGTCAAACAGTGCAGGTGTATGTCTGTGAACCTCAGCAACTCGGACAAACTGTGAAAGCAAGTATCTGGCTCCTGCTGTTGTCTCTTCTCTTCCCTGAGCAGATTCATTGTCTGTCTGGTTTTCTTTCTTCAGGATGCATCTCTCTAGCAGGGAAGGCTCACTTGTCAGTTGCCTACTGGAAATAAAGTTTGTCCTGAGTGACGTTAGGCACCTTTCCGTCCACCTCCACATATTTCTAATATAATCATATTTCACTTGAATCTTTAAGGGTGGAGCAGGCCCCTCTGAATTTGGGATTGATCATTGAGGTGACTGATGGCTGAACCCAGCAGTAACATTTTCATTATGTGGAAAAAGCCCTTCAGCCTTACACTCCGGTCTTTTATGTGGGAAGAAAATGTGTCTTTCTGCCTTTGCTATCTCACTTGGTGTTTGGTCTGGAGCTGTTCACCTTCAGATTTAAGCGACTGGTGCTGCCAGCTGCGAGGTGCAGTGATGGGATACAGCCCAGTGCTAAAAGGAAATGAGAGGTTCTTTACTGAGCCTGAGTCTGCCAGCTTGAACTGTGGGATTGAGAGAATGGCCTTGCACTCCTTATTGAAGATGGAGATAAGCACTGGGAGAGGACATTGGGTCAGCAGCAGACAGAAGATGGATTCTTGTGCTGTTGCAATTTGACTTTCTTGAACACGTGGTCTCTACAGCAATGTTTATTTTGTAACCTAGCTATAGTAAAGTTGTTTAAAATATTATTAGACCTTGCCATGTATATTTTTCTTGTGGCAGAATATTCCGAAGATTAGATTAAAGTGTCTTAAGTAAATAGACTTGATTGCTAGGTCAGTCACCTGACTTGAAACTGACAGGTTTTGAATGGGCTTTCAGCGTATTTTTGCTTTGTTTGTTCCAAAATCCATCCATTTATTACTGTGTATTTATGCTTGCATGGGGTGGGTTGGGGGAAGGGGGTATTAAAACACTTGCGAGAGCTGTATTTCATTTAAGTTATTAAAGCATTGTAGCACAAAGGGTAGATTGCAGTCATTGTTGCTTTGAATACAAAAGCTGCTTTACATATCGGTTTCTTCAGGTGGCTGGAGCGGTGTCTCCCAATCCGTAAATGGGAATCAAAGGACTTTTGTGATGTTGACGGACAAGCAGGCTTGGAGCATGTGTCTCAGCTACAGAGCTGAGGAAGGATTCTGTCCCATCCCTTTACAAATCGGGAGGGAATAAGCTGTTGTAACTCCTGCAACACTGCTGCCCCGTTATGCGTGTGATACAGAGATATACTGAATCTATGTTGATGGCTATTTTACAGTCATACAAAGTTACTCGTTCACCAGAACTTAGCAAGTTGGTATATCCAGTATGTTCCAGTTCAGGTGTCTTAAGACCTGTTGCTTTTAAAGTCTTTTCTTTAAACACCGTACATTAATCAAAGAGCGCACCAACTAAAGCAAGAGACAGATGTGTGAACTTGTTGCTTGTCTTACAGCATAGCCGCTGCAATAGTTCTGGGCTAATGAAACCAGCCTGTGGAGCATTTCTCTGGAACCTTCTTCAAGAATGACCAGTCCAAAGGGTTAAAAGTGTTGCAAACTGTGGCCACCTATGAGTTCAATGGTACGGTGCTGGCAGGCAGGCTGCTCTAAGAGGCTTTGGGTACTGATCTCTCCTAGCGCTCACCAATCGGTTTACGGGGATTGGCACGGGCAGGATGGGATTGGGTAGGTATGTTATCCCTGTTACACACACACACATACACACACACACACACACACACACACACACAGCTACATTGCATATATTTTCTGCTCTGGTGTTACACAATGTCAGAGCTGCCATGAGAGACTCCGAGTCCAGGGCTTGCTTTAGAGGCTGTTTCTGCTACACTGTTGGACACACAACAACCACCCACTGAATGGGCAAGACAGACTCCAGGTTATTGGGAGTTTTTTGATAGTGTAGAGGGGAGGGAGTTTGAAATGCCCGTGATCCATTCAGGTTCTAGGATTGAGTGTGCCCTTAGGGGAAGAGATTGTAAAGCCCGGCCTCTGTGGCTGAGACTAGATAGAAATGCCCTGGGCCCACAATTATTAACTCCACAATTATTTAAGGAAAAAATAGGCAAGAATGTTTATGGTAAGGGTACACCCAAGCAGGGATCCTCATCAACTTGCAATATGAATATGCTGCAGCATAAAGCTCCTTCTTGGGATATTTTGTATGTAAAAACTGAGCAGAGCTTGTAATGGTTCAAACTGTATTTAATTCTTGTTTTATAAATGGAAACAAAAAATGGAGAAATGCTATAATTATTTTATAGGTGTACTATTAAATTATAGAACAAATAAAGATACTCTAGGGTTATATGGAATCCAGGTGCGTGGGTTTTTTCTTCTGATGTCAGTATCTTACCCCTTTTGGCTCAATCCCTGGTTCTGCAAGAGCTCACTTTGCTTAGCCTTTTAAGTCATGTGGCAATAGCACTGGGCGTGCATAGGAACAAGCCTGATCCAACCTACTCTAGACGTGATGTTCCTCCCCTCCGAGCAAAAAGGTAATAACCTTCCCCAGCCCGGGTGAGGGCAGAGCCAAGGCCCCATGAATGGCTGGCCTGCCTGCCTACACAAGCCTTGCATTAAGCCTCAGCTTACATGATGCTAACCACAATGCAGATGACCCATGTAAGGGCATAAAAGGGTACCTTGTGCACTTGTTTGTATATTGAAAGGAGGAGAGAGATTCCCAGTATGGGGTTGGGCTGGAGAGAAGATGGTAACATAACAGATATCAGGAATGTGTGGTTCTTGCATTGTTATGGTCTCTTGTCCTCAACAAAGTAAATGATTCTTCCAAGTTTTGAAGACTTTTTGCCAAAGTCTGTTAGTCAGTTGGAATGAAATCAAGAGGTTTCTACAGTAATCTACCAGTAACATCCCCTTGTGTGTATGTTTAGAGATCATTTTGTAGAATTCACAATTTAATGAAAAGACAAGGTTTTAACAAATGGATGAAGCTTTTTAACTCTAGCTAGCCTGTTTGCTCACATCAATACTTCAACCATCTGCACTAGAGATTGTGACACTGGAGCTAACCCTTAGAACATGAAACTTCCAAGAATTTTTTTCTGTGCCAAATGTTCTAAAGTAGTTGTGTTTATTAAGAGGGGCTGCTTATTTTATTTAACATCATGATTTAAAGCCACCTCTTTTGAAGTAGGTAGATCTTAGCTACTTGAGTGCAAGGAGAATGTCTGTTAGCAGGACTTGCCTCTGACACACTGAAGTAGCTAACAATCCAAAGTTTTTAAATGTGCAAATATACTAACTTGTTCCATGAAATCAACAACCTGAATGGTGAGCTACAGGTGCTGCCCCCTAACCACTAAGCTAAAGGTTAGATGGTAGGCCTCAGTCTCTTTCCTCACCTCTCTCACCCCAGTTGTTTGGGTATTCCAAGGAAATGATTTTGGAACCAAAGCAGTTCCTGGCCAGGAAGCACAAGCAGAGGTCAGTAGGTGGGAGGGGTAGAGGCTGGTTCAGTTTCCTTTTCCCTGCCTGAGGAGAAGAGATTTGAATAGAATTCTGCATTTGCTCATCTGAGGCTCATTCAGGGATACAGGGGCTAGGCTAAGGTGGGTTGTGGCTTGAGGCTGTGTCAAAGTACGAAAACCCCTCAAAAGACAATGGCCTCTTGAGAAGGGGGTGGTGGTGATGGTTTGTACAAGGATGACCCAGCACAAAGGATGCT